CTCCTCCCCGGGAGCACGCAACGTGCCAATATTTGCTCTAACTGTTGTCATTCAGTCTACGGGTGTGGTTTAGTTTCAAAGTCCGTCACTTCAGTTCAAATCAACGGAAACAGAAATTCACAAGTTATCCAAGACCCCTGACCTGGTCATTGATCAGGAAAGGGGCCTGGATAAAAGGCTCCCATCCTAGACAAAGACAGGCCTGGTCTAGCCACAGCAGAGTGACAGCTCGTCAATAACCTATCAGCTCTTTTTTTTTTTTCCTGAAAACTACATAGTGCTACTGCTCCAGTGCAGCTCTCCACAAGGACAGGAACACAACAAATGCATGAAGACTGGAAACTGTTCATAAGAGCCCTGCTACAGCTGAGTTCTTGTCTAGCTTTGAATTCACCCACAGGTAGCTCACCTGTTGCAGGAATTTGGCACATGAGACTGATATCAATTACTGCACAATTTCCCCTTAAAGCTTTGTTTTGAGGAAGTTGGGAGAGAAAATCCCCGTCTGAGGCAGAGGCAGGAGCTGCACTGCAGTTCTCTCTGGACCCATGGTGGTGACCACATGAGTCCATCCCACAGACTTCAGAGTTGAATGAACATGTACTCCAGAAAACATCCAGGAATGATTCACATTTTTATTAGGAAAACCAGAAATAAAATCTAAAACCTATTGTTGCACAGTGACAGCAGTGTTTCAACTGAAGTGCATGGAAGGCATATTGCAATTCAAAGGTACAAGAGAGTCAATAAATTTAAAATTACAAGAAATCTTACAGGATAGGGTTAACAAAGACACTCCTTACCAAGGACCAAAAAGCTCAGTTACAGTAACTTGTGTAACTCAACCTTAAGCTTTCTTTTTTGCCACTGTGTAAAACGGCTGTGACAGGAAAACTCCTCATGACACTGTACAAAGTCTGACTGCCCATAACTTTCCAGAGCAGATGGAGCTGTCAACATGCTCTTCAAAACACAAGTCCTGAGTCTGGCCAGAGTATAACTTTAAGAATTCAGTCACACAGCGCTGCACTATCTATCTCATGTAGGGTATTATTGGACAGGATGACAGTAGAGCACAGAAATAAGTACTACACAAAACAAACCTTTAAACACCCACTCTAATTACCAAGTAACAAATGATAAAAATGAGTATCAGCAAAAATGTAATATTCCATAAAGGTTAATTATCTGAACGGCAATTCTTCCACTCTTGGTGTGAGTACAGGGCTGAAGTGACAGGATGTAAAACTCACACCACAGAACTCAGGCAAACACATCGAACACAACCTGCATGCTCCTGCATCTTCTTACATTTGCCCTGAGGATATAACTTCAGAGAGGGCAAGTCATGATTACAGCAACACATTTCAACTTGAAAATGCTTCTTTATCTTGCAAAGGAAACACACCAGTTCTAATGAGCATGATGTACCCTGTCCACTCCCCTCTGACACAGCAGAGCTGTGATCACCTGTAAGTGAAGCTGTTATCAAAAACTGAAGCTACTATCAAAATCTGTCACACAAACTCAATCACATGTAAAGAGAGCCAAGAACTAAATACTTCTCTCTTCACTGCACTGTTTCTCTTAATGTGAGGTAAGCAGCAGAGTCCTGGAGCCCCTGAACTGATTGAGTTATTTACAAGTCCCACCAAAAAAGCTCTCCAAAACACATCCCTGAATTTTCTCATTTCTGTTCCACCAGTCACATCAGTGTCCTGTGACAACCACCCTAGGTGCCACCTCTCCTGTGACTCATGCCCGGAGCAGCAGCTCGCTCTGGCTTTTCCCCAGCCCGGGGGAGGACAGACCCTTCGCCCCGCCCCCCTCAGCAAATGCAGCCACCCCCCTGCAGGGGCACCTGCCCCGCCCCCGAAAGGGGAAAGGGCGGCTGCACTCCCGCTACTCAGAAGTACAGACCCAGCAGGTTTGCAGGGATGGCAAATGAAGCCAGAGAAACAAACTTCCTGTGCCCTGAGCAAGCATCCTGCTGGGAGCAGAGACCAGTCAGGAATCCAGTCCAGCAGCTGTCCCCATGACAGCCCTCAAGGCCGAGACGAAGGTCTGCAGTGCCTCTGGCCTCACCTCGCTCTGCTTCACGGAAACCGTCATCTCCGAACCTGCCTCCTCCAGCAAGAGCTCTGCCAGGAAGAGGCAGCCTGTGTCGTCCCGAGCACTGAGGTAAGCTTTCCACGGCTGGACACCAGCTTTGCTCATAGCAATAGTCTGGATGTGGACAACGTGAAGAGCTGTCTGTACGGTATCCGGATGAACAGTCCCACACCAGGGCAGAGAGAGCTGGCAGCTCATGTCCAAGCTCAGCCACGCCTTCTCAAACTGTTCTGCAGTCAGGTAAACATCAGGAATTAAGGTCAGGCTGCCTGTATTGGGGTGAACCCTGGGGAATTCTTTATTCCCTTCAGAAATCAGTGACTCTGAAATGAGACGACAAACACGTGAGATGGAGCACAGAAGGTGCAGCTCCCAGTTTCACAAAGAACATCTTATGGAACCATCTGATGAAGAAGGGTGGAATCACAGCACCTTCAGCAGCAACCCCTGGGGCTCATGAGGGAATCAGCCACACACTGCACAAGGCAGTCAGAGCCCCCAGATCACTGTGACCTTCTTCCAGAGAAACCCACGGGAGAACATCTACTGACAAGGGGAAAACAGATCTTGGATGAAGGCGAAGTGGGTTACCTGTGTCTCTGTTCCTGGAGTCAATACAAGGAGAACAAGTGTAGGAGGGTTCTGCTGGCTGGTGAGCAGTGATGAGTGCCCAGCGTTCTCTGCCATAAACTGGTGCAAGAGTATTAAACTCTGAAGCCCATATATTGACGGGTCGCTCCATTTGGTCTTCCAGGATCCCCAGAGAGGGGTCAGACTTGGGGCTACACAGGACTCGTTTCACTTCTTCCACACCACACTGCAAGAGGCGATAGTAGAACAACCCACGGTCTCGTACTGCCATATCCATCTCCTCCTCTGGGAAATAGAGGGACATCATTTATGGAGAATTTTATCATCCAGATTTCCCCAAAGTTCTAGCCACTAATTGCCAAAAACAGACTCCCAGGGATACATTGTAAGCCTGTTACGCTGACCAGACAGTCAGGGGCCGTGTAGCAGCCTCAGGCACAAAGCCACCTCACCTTGCCATCCTGGACAGTCTCCTCACAGCTAGGACGCTGACACGTGGCACCCATGCACCGGGGCCACAGCAACACAGCTCTCAGAAAGCCTGTACCACAGCTTCAGTGAAAGAGAACAAAGGAACTCACCTATGCAGTAACAGAGCAGTCTCCCCAGCATGTCCTGACACTCAGCAGGACGAGACAAGAAAAGTTGCACCAGTGCTGTCAGAAGCTCCATCTTTACTCCTGGGAACAACTCCGATTTCATGTTCTCCACAAAGTCCTCTAAAACATAGGGGGCATTTGGTACTTTGTCACCATGTGTGCCCAGGAGCCAGATCAGCGCCTGCTTGCCCTGAAGGAACCACAGAAAAAAACAGCAAACTGGTGCCATGTACCAGAAAGAAAGTGTTGACATGAAATAAAGGCATACAAGAGAACGAGTCTTCTGAAGATTTCGGATCCTTGCCCGCCAATCAGGACCCAAATGAAAGCCCAGCAGTCACTGCCCACCCATCCTCAACAGTGCCAGCCCCCAGCACACAGCCACCTTACCTCGCTGTCCTGGATGGTGTCCTCACAGCCAGGCAGTGCCCGACACACGGCAGCCGTGCACTGGGGACACAGCCAGACCAGGTCCCGAAACACCTGCACTACAGCTGCAACGACACCAAATGCTCAGCATTCCCCAAGAGTCACAAAACTATTAGGGAACAAAAATGTCAAAAAAAAATAAAATCGAGACTTTGCAAAGCTTAGCTACAAGTGAGGTCAGTGCCTCACTTGTGACTGATTTGAGACGCCTTTCTTCAAAGTCCCATGACACTGCATTTGTCAGAGCAAAGTTGCACCCAATCTAAAATAAAGCACTGAAACTCCAGACTGTTCCTGTGGCTGCTGGAAAGTAATCCCTCTTGTGGACATTCCCCAGCCTTTAAGAAGATACTGACTCATGATGCTTCACACAAACAAGGTTAGAATGACAAATTAGAACTAGCACCAACTCAAAACAGGTCTCATGAACTTTAGGTCAACATTTTAAAGGCTCTGCTGCCCACTTCAAGAAACACCAGCAGTTTCTGAGATCTAATTCAACAGCTGAGTGCAAGTGTGTCATTTTTCAAAAAATTTTTCAAAAGCAAGACCATTTAAAACAGAGGGCAGAAGCATCAATGACATGAAGTTAGATCTGAGGGCAGCAGAAGGAAAAGAGAAGCCGGGGTACAACTGAATTAGACTATTACATGAATACCAGAAATCACAACGGTTTAAAAGATCTGTTGATCATCTTGGTCCTCAGTCACTAAAATGTCTCTGCTGAGTCCCTCTCTCCTGAAGTCAGCAGGTGACAGCCAGAAGGGAGCCTCCACATCGCACCATGATCACAGTTGTGACCATCTATCCCTTCACCCCTTCCTAAGGAAGGAAAAACTACAGCATCTCATCACACTATAAAACCCCCAACTCCACCAGGAAGACTTCCACCTGAAGATGCCAATTAAATTAAAAACCAAGTAATTTGAGAGCCTCGAGTTTAGGATCACAAGCCCCAGCAAGGCACTTCCTGAAAGCACGAGCCAGGCAAACAACCTGCAGACGATTACCTGAAGTGACATGTGCCTGCTGAAGCCCCAGGAGCTCAGTCAGAATCCCCACACACTGCTCTGTGTATGTCCGAGCAATATTGCCTGCAGAGGCACCAAAGGACACAAAAGTCAACATTTTACCAGAGTGAAATGGGAACCATGAGCCCAACCACTCAATACAAACAGACTTTAAAGAAAGTCTCTCTCTTTTCATTTTTGACTACAATTTCTCAATATGTAGTCAAATGAGCTTATTCTCCACACGAGGAATACACTCCTTTTTCTGAAGTCATGCCTCAGAAGTCTGAACTTTTCTTAAATATAACATATAAGAAAGGGATTTAAGCATATCTGACTTTCTCTTTACAAATGCTATAGGAACTTATTTTAAAGCTTAAAAAAAATAAAAGTGAAGTGCCCAAAATCACCTTAACTTTGCCCCCATCACAACTCTCAGAACAAGCAGGTATTGGAGCAGCCCCTCCACCCACTACAGTTTCATTCAACACTGTAAGGCTCCTTAATAAGATGAAATGACAGTTTCTTTAAAGCGTCTCATCAGAGCACAGACATCTGAACAAGAGTCAAGGATACAACATGCAACATGGAAGAGCTCAATGCCAGGACTTTGGGAAGGATCTGCACAACCCTGGTTCAAAAGCACTCTCGCACAACACTCCTGCGGAAGCTGCCGCACCGCCTCAGCAGAGATCAGTTCTTTGGCACTTGCCCCGAAACCTTCAGCAGAGAAGGGCACACCTCAGAAGGTCGAGGGCTGCAGCTGGTCCAGAAGCAAGAGCCAGCTCTTACCTATAGCAAAGATGGCTCCTTGGGCAAGCTCTACCGACACATCAGTGCAATAGCCCTTCAGCTCCTCCAGCACCTGCTGCACGTTTTCATCATTCACTAGCTCACACAACACCTCCATCTTCTGGCATTTGATGTAGTGGGGCTCTGAATACGAGCAGAAGAACTTTTTGTAGTGGCTGCTAAAATGGCCAGGAAGGCTACCAAGGATCTGACGCACATGGCACAGCGCGGTGAAGCAGAGCTCCCTGCTCTCCGAGGTGCAGGCAGACAGCAGCGGTCCCTTCACTCTCACCAGGACATCTGCCTGCACATGTGGGTACTCCCTGGCCAGCACCAGGAAAAGCTTAGTAGCTGCCATCACAACGCTGGGGCTGCTACTTTTGAGATAGCCATCCAGCAAATTGAGTATGTCGAAGAGTTCCTCCTCGCTGCGGGGTCTGTAACGCAGCAGGAAGGTAAGCACCTCGCTCTGCCCCCACAGATCCAGATCAGCCATCCTGCAAGGACAACAAACAGCGTGCAGGCGTCAAGAAGTGCACGAAGATCTGCACTGTGTGGAATAGAGGCCTTAGCCTCCCAGTTTCTTACACTCTCTGTTCTAAACTAAATGCTGTGTTTCAGAAGTAGATACCACAATTTTATATCAAGAGAATTGACCAGTTTATGCACATAGGCTTCACTCAGTATCAGCCATGTGCACTTCTGCTGGCACTGTAAGCCAATCAGCACACTGACAAGAACCCAGGGCACAGCAATTACCTACAGAAAAGTTAATTTATTCAGGTAATAGATAAGTTATATATATCTTTGAACAGATTGGGAGCCATAATAAAACATACCTATCCCACAAATATATCATGTGAACTGGCAAAGCCCCCCCCCCCCAACTACATTAACCTACAATTCCAAAAGAAAGCACCAGCTGAAGCACAGACTCCCTGGAAAAGCAGGGCCTCTTGTGTTTCTCTTAAGATGGTAGCATAAACCTAATTCAGTTTCTCTTGGGATGGGCACCTCCATCTTTGGGTGCCTGACTCTTCCCTTCGTACTCTGACAGGAGCCCAGAAATACCCACTCTGCCAGCACACAAAACACAAGAACAAGAATGAAGCTTTCAGCCCTATCTTAACATCAAAGGAAAACAAACCTGTTGAGGAGATGATGAGCAATGGGTTTGTTGATGACAACTCCTCCCTCCTTCTTCAAGATCTCTTCCAAGGCTCTGAGACAATTTACAACTACAATAGGATCCTGGTCACGAAGCAAACTGTACAACTCATTCACCAGTGCACCATCTGCAAAGAAACAGAGGTCCTTCCATCAAATTCTGTTGATAAGCTGCAATTTAATCACTGCCTATAAACACCACGAACACAAGACACAGCCTGACCTGGGAGAAGCAGTCAACAAACCTCCAGCTCTACAGTAACACCTGCCCTTGACACAACTTTTCCCTGAGGGTCTGTGGATGTGAGATGACACCCAGCCGGCCGGAGCCCGTGGGAATGGCCAGGCGTTAGGGGAGGCCCTGAAAAGGCAGGCAGGAAAGGGGCACTGACCTTGCAGCGCCTGGCGCTTCGGTGAGCATTCAATACACAGCAACAGCCCGTTCATCTGTCTCTTTCTTTCTCTCCCCGTCCCACAGCCA